CTGGGTCAAAACAGCCCAATCGCTGGGTTTGTCCATATTTTACAAAGCACTGGGTTGTATTTAACCCAGCATTTTTTAGTGTATATTGTTTGTCCTGTTTGCAGTTGTTGGATGGCCGAGTGTGATTATTCATCAAAAATGTCTATCCTTGCGTATAATATGAATAATATGGAGTAATATAAGGGTGAGTAATTAAAGAAAATTTTCACTTCTGGGTCAATTAGTCGGCGTGGCTGACTCTTAACTTTTATAAAGAATATCTCTTTGGATTTGAGACTTTAGTCTTTGCAACTTTACAGATCTTCTTTATGCACCAAGAGCTTGTAACACTCCAAAGAGAAAGGAACAATTGAAATCGCATCATATGACCCCTTTAAATGAATATGAACTCACCATTGAACCTTCTGTTTTTGTAGAATAAAGACATGATGCATAGAACTTCAATCGCAAAAGCACCTGCAGCTACTGCTGCCCAATGATGATTTCTAGATTCCAGACTTCCATCTGCAGGAAAAAATGTAACACATAATGTTCTAAACATTCTATAAATTCATGCGACATGTAAATACTATAAATACCAATTCTGAGCTGCCAGCTGGAGTAGGAAGCTACTGTACAACAATTTTGCACACAATATTAAATTCTGACTGGTAATATGGTCATATTTACCCCATGATATTGTAAATGTCCGATTGCTTTGCAGGACACGACACTCATAACCCCGTTTCTCATCTCTGTGTATCTTCACACTGGTTCTTATTTGAAAGGTTTGATCATCATTAGGTCTGACTCCAGTAGAGCTGAAGGGATGGAGTGTGATGTTGTTTAGTGTGATGTTCATCTCTATGTGTTTGGGGTAGAAGCCAGTGGCCAGACAGGTCAGAATCAGCTCGCTTTGGTCACGAGGAGCTGCAGATGCAAACATGTGAAGAACTGGAGGAGCTGGAATAAGAAGCGCATCATGAATAAAGGATAGTGGAACTACTCAACTGATTCTGAACAAGAAGACAAATTATTGAGTTCAAAACACTGAAATCATTAGAGCAACACATACTGTTTTTCGAAGCATTAAATGTAGAGATCCAGTCCATGCAGTTGTTGAGGTATAACTGGAGAAGCTTATTGCGAAATCTGTCAGCGTCCCATTTCATTTTGGTTTCTTTTGCCTTTGGACTTTTATCAATCCACTGCAATGTGTAATGATTAAAGGCAATAAAATCCAGTCCATCATATCCGTACTCCTCAAATGCATTCACATGCATCACTGATCCATCTGGACGTTTCTCCACCTCACAGCCAACTCTCCTCTGTAGTGTATGGAGGCCTAAACATGTAAATTAATAAATAAATAAAAAACAACAACTACACATTATTACAAGTAAAAATATTTAATTGTATTTAAAAAATACAGTGGCCCAAAAGCATCTGAACACTTAAAAATATATCAATGTCATTTCACTAAAGCCCAATGAATTCACCATAACAACTGGAGCTTGTGCAGTTTGCCAGAGTGTTAACCAGATTTATAAACCAGTCTCTAGAAACATGAGGTTCTTTGGTATTTCTCCAGATTTCTGCATCAAACCAGTCTCTTTTCCAGGTTCCTTCTTCATTGCTGTAGTAAGAGATCCATATGTCGTCATACAGACACACTGCACTGAACACAGGGCCGGAGAATCCATCAGGTTTGGTGAGCGTGGTGTAAACAAACAGGAGATAGTGTATCTCTGAGGAAAGATAAATGCAAGACAATAAAAGGTGTTAAGGTCATGTCAACATTATATATAGTCAAACTGCCCGAGAGTGTTCCAAATAATATCTCTATCTCTCTCTTGTATAATTCAAAGGCCTCTCTAAGACAGGTCAGTTCACTCAGCAGCTTATTAACACTTGTTAACACCTGTAGGCTTACCACAGATTACTGTAACCATGGTATTGTGGCAGAAATGTGGGACATTCCCATCAAATTTGATTATATTATCAACATAGGCATGAATTAAACATTAAAGGAGTGATAGGTTGGAACTGCAATGTTTTTAAAGGCCCTGCAGGTTTTGTCCATTTGTATTTTTTCACTAAATAGGTGCGTTGAAAGGCCTTTATTACCGGTTATGAAAGCTGCCTGTTCTACAGATCATTCATTCACTACATCAAAAGATGGAGAACACAGTGTCCAGAGCGTCTAGTTACAAAAAAATGTTTATTGAATATAGTAAATATTTTGCAATAAAACACACACATAAATACATATACACACACACACAGGTTTGTTTTTGTGAAAAGTAGGGACTCTCCATAGGTGTAATGGTTTTTATACTGTACAGACCGTATATTCTATTGCCCTACACCAACCCTACCCCTAAACCTACCCCTCACAGGAGACTTTGTGCTATTTCAGATTTTCAATACACTCCATTCTGTGTGATTTATAAGCGTTTTGAAAAGTGGGGACATGGGGTAATGTCCTGAAAAGTCACCTTCTCCTTGTAATACCTATGTTATACCTTTGTCATTATACAAATTTGTGTCCTCATTTGTCACAAAAACGTGCGCACACACACACACACACACATTTATAAAACGGTTAGTTCCATTCCTCAATTCTGATTGCGGATCAGAATCACAACGGATGATAAGAGCTCCTATTCTGTTTTAAGACTGTTTCAACATTCTAATATAAGAATGTGATATATAAGAATGTTATAAGAGTCTTACAACATTCTCATATTAATATAAGAATGTTAAAATTCAGTTAAGTTTCTGTGACTGGTAGGTTTAGGTTTGGCGTAGGTTATGTATATACTATGGTGAGTTTTAACATTCTATAAAACATTATATATTATCATTTTTAAGATGTTGTCTTTGTGAGGTCCAACTAAAGGACCCCACAAAGTAGCATTTTTCTGTTTTTACTATCTTTGTGGGGACGTTAGGACCCCACAAAGTAGTATAAACAAAGATGAGTGTGTGCGTGTGTGTGTAAAAATAATCAGAGGACTTAATCTACGTCACAGGCAGGCAACAGGAAACAAACCCCAGCTGATCCAGAAGGCGAATCCAGCTTTAATTAACAAGACAGTACGTCTGTCACCACAGGCCAGTTCTTCCACCCTAATGTGGCAGTCTTGCAGTTCTATGCAAGAATATATTGAAATGACCAATACAGTGCATTAAAAAAAATCTCTCTTCCACTCTTCTTTCGCTGTACTTTTGAACTTTCCAAATTCCAACTGATTATGGCGGCCACAGAGAATCTGCTCAAATTAGGTTGAACTCTTTGTGCTGCCTCTGTCATTGCATGCACAAGAACATGGTCTATCACAGTAGCTCTGATTTCATCTGAAATGACTGTTCTTGGTCTTGCTCTTCCTCGTCCTCTTCTTCCTCCACCTCATATGCACTCTTTCAATACCTCTCAGATTGTTATCCATTGTTGATGGATGTCCCCGTACCATCTGTGCACTTTGAACTGGCTTATATTTGTACATTAACATATTTAGAAACAAGTTTGAACAATTTTGAATTATTGTGTGTAATCCATGACAGTTGTGCTTAACTTTTGATTTATTGTGTTTAGGGTTTGCATCACAAGTTCATCACAGTGCAAATTGAGTTTTAGAGTTTTGTTAAAAAAAAATAAAAAAATTTATTTGTTTAATTTCTACTCTACACACCGCTCAATCACATGCACACAGCTTACTGTAAGTTTTAATTGAGTGCATGAGATCTGCAATAGTGTCTAATCTGCCTGAACTTGTTTATGGTTTTGCAGAAAGGGATTTATTTGACAAATTGGTTTAGGCTATTGAGAATTTGGTTCAAAGAATGGGGTTTAGTGTCTTAGCAAATGCAAAAACCTGTAAAACAGTAATTTACCGTCACCTACTGGTGGTTGGGTTTCATATTTTGAAGTATCATTGCATTTTTCACAACATTTCTTATTTGTAAGTTTAAAATATTTAAAACATTAATCTTATAACATTATTTATGCATTTGAAATTTTGCACAGTAAATGCATTTATGGCACCTCAGATGCAGCTTCTGTTTCCTCTGCAGTGGAAAGATGGAGTGTGTTGATACTGATTTCATTTGAATGGTAACAACTCTACAGTTTCTTATTATTCTAACTGGAATTAACTGACACAATGTAAGAATTTGATGTGAAAGATGACACTTAATAAGGTTAGGGGGTAAAAAAAATGACAGTTTATAAACAGTGGGAAATGACATCTGTTTGTTACATTATTGTTACATCTTTGCAATCACAGAGCATTTTATTTTGAGAGTTGTTTAAGTGAGAGAACATCTGTAACAGTCCAGATTAGGGTTGCAAAGGGGCGAACATTTTTTCCGGAAACTTTCCATGGGAACTTTGTCTGGGGAATGTTGGAAATATTCCAAGTTTGAAACTTGCCGGGAATTTATGGGAATTAGGCCTAATTGAAAATTTGGTGAAATGTATAAAACTGTATCGTATACAAACATAAATATAACATTTTGTTTGATGCATGCACATGCATGCAAACTAATACAAATTTTGAAAAAAATAAAGTTATGGGGTATTTTTTGGGGGGGGGTCTGTGATGCTTTTTTCAGGATTTTTTGATAAATTAAAACTTATGAACAGTGTATATTCAAAATATAAATCTTTTCTAACAATATAAGTCTTCCCTACTACTTTTTTTATTATTAATTTAACACATCCTTGTTGAATAAAAGTATTAATTTATTTTAGAAAAAGAGACAAGATACAAACCCCAAACGTTTGAATGGTAGTGTATTTTTAAAAAAGGATTTCTATTTTAAATAAATGTTCTTTTTTTTTTTACTCTTTATTCATCAAAGAATCCTGAAAAAAAGAATCACAGGTAATACATTTTTTTTTATTAAAATTATACTAATATATATATATATATATATATATATGCAGCACAACGGTTTCCAAAATTGATAATAAATCAGCATATTAGAAAGATTTCTGAAGAATCATGTGACACTGAAGACTGGAGTAATGATGTAAAACCCAGCTTTGCATTACAGATATATATTGTTTTAAAGTATATTAAAACAGAAAACCATTTTAAATTGTAATACTGGTAATACTGCACAATATTACTGTTTTGTTCTGTATTTTTGATCAAATAAATGAAGGCTTGATGAGCAAAAGATATGCAATGTTTAAAAACATTAAAAATAGTAATGTGTCCAAACTTTTTACCAGTACTGTACTTCTGTATGATAACAGAAAGCTGGCTAGCAGAAAGAGCATCACAGCTTGAGCTAGCTAGCACATACCTCATAAATTGTCAATGAAATAGTGCTAACTCACTTAGATTTTTCATATCTTGATTTACTGGCTAGCTAGCTACTGTATAAACACTTTTTGGTATTTACTAGTTAAACTTGAATCCCATAGATCAAATATATTTAGAATATCAAAACTTAGATGCAGTCTTTGGGCTCAAATGCAGGAAGTGGGCTTCAGAGAAAATGGAGGGGAATCCCCCTCTTAGAGAGGATTGTGTGGGAGGAGGGTAATTTTTAGACTTAAAGGTGACATATGAAAATCTGATTTTTCCAGGTTGTAAGTGCTATAATCAGGTCCCCGGTGCATCTATCAACCAAGGAAACATGAAAAAGATTAACCCAGTAACTTTGTTTTGGGAAGCCTTTTTCTGCAAGCGTCTGAGAAAACGAGCGCGTCTGATTTCACTCCCTTGGTGACGTGGCAAAGGGATCTCATAATAATATTACCGCCCCTTAATCTGTAAATTTACACCCACGGCGGCCGTTATTGTGTTTTCGCAAGAGACAACGGTGCACCAGCTCTAATGCCATGGAGAAACAGAGGAGCACAGAACACGGTTTAGAGTCCCAGCCTCAGAAGAGACAACAGAGCAGTGCATTTATTGATTTATTTACTGTATATTGCTGCTGCCACACTGATCTAAAATAAACAAGTGATTTATTTCCCAGCTGTTTACCTTCACAGACATAACCCACTGTTTTTTGTAACTCATGTGTGTTTTTAAGGTAAACTTGTGTGTGAATGAGAACTTAGTTTAGTGCTCACATGCTGTGACAGCCGCTTTCTGTGCGTGTGCTTCGGATGTGTGCTCTCAGAAAACCGTGTATCAGAAGTTTAAACTCATATGGTGTAAAACGCATGACTTCAGCGATAAACATGATAATCAGAACCAAAACAGATGTTTTTAGCAGGTCCGAGCTGTAATGTACGGAAGGTTTAAGCGGCCATGCATTATTATTTTTTTCCTTCTCGTTTTCTCGTTATAACGACTTAATTTTCTCGTTA